ATGTTTTGACGGTCTAGACTCACGTAAATTAATTTGAGTAGAACGAAGTTTACATAATTTTGTTTCCATTTTGATTTTGTCTTACACAAAGAGTCCTACGTCAAAATTAGCTTAAAATACAATATTGTATTATTAAATCATATAAGCAGTTAAAATACACAGAAACGTGATGATAATTATTGAGCAGATTTCACAAAGATTACAGTAAACTATCAGCAGTCAGCAACTATACAAGGGATCAACTTATACTGTTCATTAAGGTACTAAGAATAACCAGTATCAGTCGTCCGTTTGATAATCGGGTACGTTGATGTGCTGCTGATAGTACATTTATCTATAAGGTTTAAAAAAACAACTGCGTATATTTTTAGGGAAACAGCCCATTAAACTGAACATGAAACTGACTCGGCCAGTTGGTAAATTTAGAATCGGAGGTGCAATTTTCTTTTTCATATTTTGACTTATGTTTCTTGGGGAAAGTAGTTCAGTTTCATGGGCTGATTAAACCCTTCAAATATTTGCAGTTGATTTTGACTGTGTAGTAGTTACATTCGTAAAACCTTTTTCCATCTGTATCGTTCGATGATCATCCATCCGGTCCAGTAAACAGTATCATGTGATCCGTCTCCAGGGGGCGTCTCAATCAGATACTAAATACATCATTAAACACAATCAAGCCTTCGCTATGTGCTATGTATCGTGGGATGATGGGAACCACATGCTGTAGAGCATATGGATATTGAATGTTCATAATATTATCACGAATTTACTATTAGCGAACTGATCTAGGAAGATATACTTATTCTTTGTCAAATTATATATCGTAAAAACTTATAACTATACATGAATGTGACAACAAGGATAGTTATATGCGCATTGAGCACATGTTGTGTCCATAGGATATGTTGTCATAAGGTGCTTAAAAATTAAAGATTCAAAATATTGTAAAACCCTTGAAATTAGTTACAATATATAATTTTTTAGCAAAAGAATTTAAAATAATATCATAGTTTCAGACTACCTACTATGACATTAGACGATTTGGTATCCCACACGAAAACTACTACCAGTGGCGAAGGATAGCATTTTATTTAAAGAAGGTAGGTCGAAGCGAGAAATGTACTAAGTGAAAGTATACCTATTGATGTTAAAGTATGGATTTGTAATTTTTTCGAAACCGAAATCGATTGGAATCTGCATGTAGCGATCTTTCGCCACTGCTACCTTCCTAACTAATGCATACCTATGCAACAGTCTTTGTGGTTAAGACGTCTTCAATTTCTAGCTGTCATTCACACTATGCCTGCTTTATGGCACGTATATTATCGTATTGATTGCGTTCGCGTCGATAATACACTGTAGTCTAAACATGGTCTAATTTACGCCACCATTGAATGAACAACACGACAACATAGTAATTTCCTCCATTAATGAGGCCTGATGCCATTATGGACTGGAAAATCAATCACAGTGTGTTAAAACAGTATCGTTAGTGTGGAGGCTGTATAAAGATCGAAGCACATCTGCTATAGTTCAGTCGTTGACTATTTCAATATGGTATCAAATATATTATTCGCCAGTTGTTAAATATAGAAAATAAACTTCGCGACAATCAATGCTTATGTTATGGTAGAAAGGTAAAGAAAGTGAAGCTGCATTCAGCGTTACGTTGCTTATGTGTTATTTCTTTGTGTTGCTCATTTGAGAGTTACCTAATTATACTGGTTACACCTATATTCGGAACAATTATTTCAGGTTCTGTTATTTTATTGAGTTGGCAAAAATATTAATAAAATAACCATTCAAACTTACCATGAGCGTTATACTGTTGCCATCAGCCAACTTTTGGCAGACTGTATCCAACGGCTACTTGCAACAATTGCAAGATCGTCAATCTACCCTGCTCTACGGTTCACTAGCTCTTAATACAGCTGACGCATATACAACGTCAATATTATTTTCTCTTCCTCAACTGTTGATACAGTCTAAATGACTCTCAAACTTGTCAAACGTAGTGTAAATGGCCGTTTTGACAGACAAATATAAGCGTGATGTATGTTTATATATATATAAATATTACAAATGACCCATATATACAACGTCAATATTATTTTCCTTCCTCAACTGTTCGACAACATAAGTTTTTCCTCGTTCGCAATGTAACGCTCAAACGTAGGTAATTGCTCTCTATCTGTCGCGACCCTAAAGGTGGTATAGAGGTGGCATAAAGGCCATAATCGATGCTATTACGCGCCAACGTCACGTGCACGCCACGCGACGAGCCTCGCAAATAGGGCTGCAGAAATATTTACTGACAGTTACGTAAATACCGGTGAAAATTGGATTTATTGTAATATTTCCGATAGGTACGTTTGCAGTGTGAGTGAAGTCTATTTGTAGGTCAGAAGATTGCTGGACAACAGTAAGATAATCTTCTATTCCCCTAACCTAACCTCTAGTTTAAATGTTATACATATGTACACACACATCATGCCTGTATCTTTAGCGGGGTAGGTAAAGCCAGACTCAGTAAAATACGATTGCTATCTTTACGGTTGACAAATATTTGAGGGCCGTTTCAGAAAATTGTGTATCACTATAGTGTCAGCCTTTCGTCTAAACAAATACTTTGGGATGTACAATCACGAGAAACGTTCATATTCCTAAACGCCTTAAACGATACCCGCGACAATGAAATGGGGTGATGCTATTCTAAACTGCAATACACGGCCAACTAAACTGCTCTAAAACATAAGAATATCTCAGGAAATATATTAGGTTTGTTGTCGAAATACGCACATTAAGTTTCACCTTCTAGGAGGATAATCCATCAGAGTTAAATCGTATTATAATCTGCTCCTGCGGCGCTACGACAATGCTACGATAATTACTACGAGATAATACGCTACGGGTGAGGCCGGAACAGGCTGCTACGAGACTGCTACATCATTATAAGAAATTGTATAGATACATACATACGTTCATATATCATGCCTAGGGGTAGGCAGTGCGTAAACAGCTGTAAAAAAGGCTTTTACATCACGTCACTCTCAAATCCCTTAGTCACTTCTTACGAAACCCACGGGAACAATGTCAGGTGAAGCTATTCTAAGCCGGCACCACACGGCATGGCAAGAATTTACAAAATGTAAATAGTATTATAGCTTTTATAGTCTTCTATAGCATTGCTTGATAGCAGTTTCGGTGGCACATGCAGCACTCGTTAGCGATCTTTAGCGATACTCCATTACTGGTTTAAAGTGGTTATAATCGGCACAATACCATAACCATAACAGCCACAACAGTCCACTGCTGGACATGAGCCTCCTCCTATCGCGGGGTATTGGCATACTCACTGCGTTGAGCAGGCGGATTGGCGAGCGCAAGATGTTGCCTTTACAGGGAACGCTGCTGCCCATTCCCTGGATGATTATCTCTTATTCGCTTTTTACGAAACCCACGGGTAGAATTGGGGTAATGCCATTGTCAGTCGGCATAAGGTACATGAAGCAAGGCTTTATAATACTAAGTAAGAAGTTATAATGTAGTATAATGGTAGGCTTAAAAACCAAGCGACAGCGACAACGACGCGCGTCGTTGTCGCTGTCAAATGACTGGTTTGTATGGGTTTGTATGGGGAACCAGAAAGACCGAGCGTCGGCGTCGTTGCGGCGCGCCACGACGCCGTCACGTTGACAGCGCGCTGAGAAGCTTAGAGTTTGTATGTGATGCGGTCGGGTTTTTCTACAAGACCGCAGCGACAACGACGCCGTCAAATGTCAAATTTTGACGGCGTCGTTGACGCGCGTCGTTGTCGCGACGCTTGGAAAATAAGGGTACCATAATAGTTCTTATAACATTCTATAGCCTTGCTTTATAGCAGTTTCGGCATCACATGTGCGCGGCACTCGCGTCGTTAGCAATCCTTAGCGATACTCCATCACTGGTTTAATCTGGTTATAATCGGCACAATTCCATAACAATAACAGCCACAACAGTCCACTGCTGGACATGAGCCTCCTCCTATCGCGGGGTATTGCGCTGGGCAGGCGGATTGGCGAGCGCAAGATGTTGCCTTTACAGGGAACGCTGCTGCCTATTCCCTGGATGATTATCTCTTATTCGCTTTTTACGAAACCCACGGCTAGAATTGGGGTAATTCCAATGTCAGTCAGCATAAGGTACATGAAGCAAGGCTGTAAGAAGTTATAATGTGTATAAGTAGTACCTATATAGGGTGCAATTTTATTAGTGGCGGATCCGTTAAGGGTGTGTTCTGTCAATGAAACTGAACAACTTTCCCCAAGGAACATGGGTCGAAATACGAAAAAAAATTTTGGTCTTCACATACCTACTAAGTGTGTTGGCCGGCCGGGTCAATTTGTATGGGAGGGCCAATTTTTTTTTCCTATTTCGAGCCATGTTCCTTGGGGAAAGTTGTTCAATTTCATTGACAGAACACACCCTTAACGGATCCGCCACTAATAAAATTACACCCTATATAGTTCTTATAACATTCTATAGCCTTGCTTTATAGCAGTTTCGGCATCACATGTGCGCGGCATTCGCGTCGTTAGCGATCCTTAGCGATACTCCATCACTGGTTTAATCTGGTTATAATCTGGTCCCGCGGCGCCGGCACAATGCCGCCCGATAATTACTAGCGTATCCAAAATACAGCCCGGGATTATACACACGGATGTAAAAACAATAGTGGATTCATTAAGACAAATAATACCGCTTTGGCTGTGATTCCACCTACAATTGCATTCTTAAAGACGGTTGACGGCAGGCCGGTCATAAAACATTGCTCCCCAATCAACCACAAATCTTGCTCTCAAATGCGCTGACCCCAACCCAACTGATTTGGATGGATATAGCCACATTCAATCCTTAAGAAAAAATTATCGCTAGCAATTAGTTGTTCCGTTAGATGGAGTCCTGTCTGCTGCGCGTTAGTGGCCAATATACACTTGCTTAATTTCTCAGGCTAGTATTGAGCTGTGGTAGCCCAGCTGGTAGAGGCGTCGTCAATACAGATGATGGAGGTCGCAAGTTCAAAACTTGCCAGCTGTGCATTTTTTTATCAAGTTTTGTAAAAATATAATGAAATAAGAAGTAGAACAGGAATGGACCCGAATTGGCAACATTAATGTTGACATCCCGCTCATAAATGTCTTTTAAGTAGTAGAAAGGCATGCAAAAATGTTGCGAATTCGGGATTCATTTTTATCTGCGCAAATTATATTTACATCAATTCGGTTAGGGAGCTCGAGTTTATACTAGACTCATTAGGTTCTACATACATACATGCATCGATATTAAATGTCGGTCATTTATCTTGAGGTGCATAATACATAGACATACAGTAATCATACAATGCCATACGTATGCACGGACTGATTGTGTGTAATAGACCAGATAATTTCTATCGCAGAGAGCTGATATTGATATAAACTAAAGCCAAGGATGTTATAAGTATATATACCCAAAGCATAGTTAATATCAGCACACAAAGAAAAAATAGATACCTACAGACAAAATACGATTCTGGAGCACCTTAGTAATTTTTTAACCTAATTTAGTTTCACGGACTTCAATAGGATATCGTGCTTACTCGATTTGAGGAGTTTTCTCAAATACTTAAGTATCTTTTCCCCTTATTTCAGGTGCAGACAACCCGTCTGCCCCTGCCGGCGTTCTCGCCACGTGCAGTTCTGATGTACAGCGCCGCCGTCGGGGGGGAGGGGGCGGTGGCGCTGCAACTGAGGGAAGCCAATCCTGGAGAGCTGGACGCAGCCAGGCTGGCGGATGACAGGCTTGCTATAGCTTGCCATGAGCCTGAGCTGCTGGCTGACCTGCTGCACGCCGCCGCTGATATCGGTCAGTACCATAGAGACACTACTAGACCTCATAAGGCTCTACATAATTAGTAGTAATATAGGGGGGATGGGGCGGTGGCGCTGCAACTGAGGGAAGCCAACCCTGGAGAGCTGGATGCAGCCAGGCTGGCCGATGACAGGCTTGCTATAGCTTGTCATGAGCCTGAGCTGCTGGCTGACCTGCTGCACGCCGCTGCTGATATCGGTGAGTATCAAATATAGCAACACTGAGTAACAATAAGTAGTAGTAACTGTAGTTGAGATTGGCTACTGTCGTCGTGGAGGGGGGAGGGGGCGGTGGCGCTGCAACTGAGGGAAGCCAATCCTGGGGAGCTGGACGCGGCCAGGCTGGCGGATGACAGGCTTGCTATAGCTTGTCATGAGCCTGAACTGCTGGCTGACCTGCTGCATGCCGCTGCTGATATCGGTCAGTACCATAGAGAAACTACTGGACATAGGGCTAGATAAGTAGTAGTACTATAGATGAAGCCACTCCTGAAGAGCTGGACGCGGCCAGGCTGGCGGATGACAGGCTTGCTATAGCTTGTCATGAGCCTGAACTGCTGGCTGACCTGCTGCACGCCGCCGCTGATATCGGTGAGTACCATAGAGAGACTACTGATCATAGGGACTCAGATATGTAACCAACCCTGGAGAGCTGGACGCGGCCAGGCTGGCGGATGACAGGCTTGCTATAGCTTGTCATGAGCCTGAACTGCTGGCTGACCTGCTGCACGCCGCCGCTGATATCGGTGAGTACCATAGAGAGACTACTGATCATAGGGACTCAGATATGTAACCAACCCTGGAGAGCTGGACGCGGCCAGGCTGGCTGATGACAGGCTTGCTATAGCTTGTCATGAGCCTGAGCTGCTAGCTGACCTACTGCATGCTGCTGCTGATATCGGTGAGTACCATTGAAAGACCAATAGACATCATAACATTATAAATACTGATTGAAGCTTACCCTGGAGAGCTGGACGCGGCCAAGCTGGCGGATGACAGGCTTGCTATAGCTTGCCATGAGCCTGAACTGCTGGCAGACCTGCTTCACGCCGCCGCTGATATCGGTCAGTAACTAATATAGCAACACTGAGTAACAATAAGTAGTAGTACTGTAGTTGAGATTGGCTAGTGTCGTCGTGGAGGGGGGAGGGGGCGGTGGCGCTGCAACTGAGGGAAGCCAATCCTGGAGAGCTGGACGCAGCCAGGCTGGCTGATGACAGGCTCGCTATAGCTTGTCATGAGCCTGAACTGCTGGCGGACCTGCTGCACGCCGCCGCTGATATCGGTCAGTACCATAGACCAATAGACATCATAAGACTATAGATACTGATTGAAGCTAATCCTGGAGAGCTGGACGCAGCCAGGCTGGCCGATGACAGGCTTGCTATAGCTTGTCATGAGCCTGAGCTGCTAGCTGACCTGCTGCACGCCGCCGCTGATATCGGTTAGTACCATAGACCAATAGACATCATAAGACTATAGATACTGATTGAAGCTAACCCTGGAGAGCTGGACGCAGCCAGGCTGGCGAATGACAGGCTTGCTATAGCTTGTCATGAGCCTGAACTGCTGGCTGACCTGCTGCACGCCGCCGCTGATATCGGTAAGTACTGTATTGAGGGAAGCTAACCCAGGAAAGCTGGACGCGGCCAGGCTGGCGGATGACAGGCTTGCTATAGCTTGTCACGAGCCTGAACTACTGGCCGACCTGCTGCACGCCGCTGCTGATATCGGTCAGTACCATTTAAAAACCAATAGACATCATAAGACTATAGATACTGATTGAAGCTAACCCTGGAGAGCTAGACGCGGCCAGGCTGGGGGATGACAGGCTTGCTATAGCTTGTCATGAGCCTGAACTGCTGGCTGACCTGCTGCACGCCGCCGCTGATATCGGTGAGAACCATTTAAAAACCAATAGACATCATAAGACTATAGATACTGATTGAAGCTAAACCTGGAGAGCTGGATGCAGCCAGGCTGGCCGATGACAGGCTTGCTATAGCTTGTCATGAGCCTGAGCTGCTGGCTGACTTGCTGCACGCCGCTGCTGATATCGGTCAGTATCAAAGACCAATAGACATAATAAGGCTCTAGATAAGTAGTAGTTCTGCATTTGAGAGAAACTAGAACCGCCGTCGGAGGAAAGGGGGCGAGGGGGCGGATAAGAGGCTTTTGATACATACCAACATCACTCTATGGTAGGTAGTAATGTACTTGAGAGAGGCAATGAACTGCAAACAGCTAGAATGAATGACAAGTGACTTGCGATCGCTTAAAATGAATCTAAACTGCTGTCCAAACTGTACCATGACCTAAAGTATCAATCAATGTAGTGTCAGAGTTTTTCAACCACCTGCTACTGCTAGCAGGCCTCTTACATGGTTGTGTAACGACTACCATCTAAGTAATCAATAATCATAGGCAGCAACCGACCGAGACTTAAAAATAGCTTACCCATTTATAATTCCGTTTCAAAAACCTATGTTTAAAACAACTCATTCATTCCATTCATCCACTTAGTTATCTTGTTTAATATTCCTCAAATACCGCAGAAAATCTGCAAATCTGTAAAGGCGACAACCGGAAACGCGCCTCGGTGCTGTTAAACAGGATGTCGCGATATTATTCCCCACTGTCGCCGTGCTCTTCGATAACGAAACAGGATTCATGCATAATCCAACACTTGCTCAAATTGGGTAACTAGACCGATATTCAAATTGTGTTTCGAGCTAAAATATTCGGAATGTTAATAAGACACAGATATGACTTAACTGAGCCAGCGGAATTGGCATTCAGATGTCGCGTTGAACTTATTTTATTTGACTAAAGAATCATGGGTATTCTTGCCTGGATCCGGACGGCGGGTATTTTGAATTTCAAATAGTGGATTTTGCATTCGAGACCGGCTTCGAGCTTCGGGCTGCAGGCATGCTGGCTACCGTTTACCGCGCAGCCATTTTGATCGCGATTCTTTTGATTGCAATGCGATTCGATCTAAATGACAAATGGCGTAGCATTTTTGAGCCAAGGTCCGAGGCTATAAAATTTTAGGGACTTTTTATGACTAACTGTAAACTAAAAATACCTATCTTTTACCCGCGTACTGATTGTTCAGTCGCACAATTTTCATTTTGCATGAAATATGACAACTAAAACCTTTGATGTCAAACTAATCCTACATTCTGTTACGTATCCAATCTTAGGAGAATTTTTCTCTATTTCTTACTTAATTTACTGAAAAGGGAAACGATTTCAAATCTATTCGATATACTCAAATAGTCTCTGCGAAATGGCAGAGATGTGCAAAAATAAAACCTCTTTGTTAGCAGAGTAAGTAAATCCTCCAGAGATTTTGAATATTAAAAGCAAATTCACAAAAGGCGTTGAACCAAAAAAAAGCTCGTTCTACAACACAATACTTAATCCGTTTTGTACAATGGAAATGCTTCATCAGAGTCAGCTTTCATTTTTGTTCACATTATTTCAATTATTATTTCGCTGGACCTTTTTCGATTTTCATAAAAACGGGGCCATATTTTCCGTTTCGTTTTTATTTGGTAAAAAATATTTACGACGCAATGTGAGGTAGAAGTTTTAAGGTTATGTTTTTGAATAGATGCAATATCTTTTACGATAGCTACTCCGACGAATGTTTGGATGTTTTATTATTTTACTTATGAAATGCCATTAGAATTTGTGGACAGATCAGACGTTTCAAGTAATAATCACGTACTGAATTTTCCGCGAGTCCACAACAACAATTCTGTAAGTTTTATTCACTTAAGATGTAAATTTGAACAACATACAAAAAGAACACAGATTCCTTGTCAACATTAATATCTGTGGCGAGATTTATTGAATGAGTTCAGTAGCAGTAGGGTCACGAGCTTCTCGTCTCTAGCGGCGAGGGCGAGGGATGTCAACTTGTCAAAATTTTCTTGAACCCGTCTCGTTTCTACTTAAAAATGCAAACTCATGCAAACGAGCTACAGAGGTCCATAATTCTATTATATTTCCTTAAGGGGCTACCCGACCAACGCCAGCGCCATTCGTCAGTTTGAAAATCCATTACTCGCTTGAAACATAATTCGTGGATAGTCCACGAATTATGCATAATCACGCTTTTTTGTGAAGGTAACATCGTCGCACAAAAATTTATTTAAATAAACTTCCACTTAAAACCAT